GGGTGTAGATCTTGGGGGGGGGGGTGACCATATATATATATATATATATATATAAGTTTGAAAACACAAACATACATTTATATATGATAGTAGCAATGATAATACGTATTATTCTATATTCGTAATATATGATGCAGTATAATGAACATATTATAATATGGCATCTAATACAAGAATGCTAGGATCTCTCGAATATAATTCCAATGGCTGAGCCGAGTCCTACTGCTGCGCGTCCGGGCACCAAGGAGCGTGGGCTGCAGAAGCTCAAGGACTACTATCTGAAGAGGGTGGACTTTGAGCGAGTGGAGGCACGAGACGCTGCTTGCCGAGACCAGCCTTCTTGAGAAAAAGGATTGGAAAGCAACCAGACTTTCAGAAACTCCCTTGCTTTAGGCTCTTTTGGCCAAAGCAATGAGTGTTTCCTCTATGGTTTAGGGGTTTCTGGTGCAGAGACCGGTCAGCGCCCTTCGTAAGCCTTCGTGAGCCAAACCCCTACAGAGATTGCAGATTACAGTGTGCCCAACATCATTCAGCCCTCCCGCGGACGCCGGAATGGCTTCAGATACACTTCTAGCATCAATGAATCGTTCTGCTCCGAGGAGTGTCGTAGCAGACAATTCGAAAACCTCAACCCTAAACCAAACAAAAAGCCTAAACTGCACCCACTCAGTAACAGTTGGATAATATTCATAATAGAGATATATAAGGCCCTTAATAGTAGCCCTATTATAGACTGTTACTGTATTTGGGCAGTACCCAAGCTAAACCCCTAAACCCCTAAGCCTTTCATCCTAAACCCTGGAAGCCCCACAGCCTAACTGAAAACCCGGAACCCCTTCAGGCCCAATTCCTTCAACGCGCAGGTCCTGGGCTTTCAGTCGCCCCACCGTGTGTCCACCTTTCGCTGTGCGACGATGTCCGACGAGTTGCAGACCAACCTCGCGAGGTCCGGTCCGGGTCAAAGTATTCCCCCACAAAACAGGCCCTACCTAGTCACAGTGTTAATACTATGACAAACCCATAATTTGGAATCGTATCCCGCTTTATACAACCTGTCTGCACAGACTAGAGTGACTAGAGTATACCCCAAAACCCTCTCAAGGCCCCTACATTAAACTGCAATGCAGGGCCTTGTGGCTGCTCTGCCAGGGTGGGTGTCTGCATGGGGGCTTACCTTTGGTGAAGCACGGTGCAGCTTCCTCATGTAGCCAAGGTATCACCAACGTACCTTCCCTAACGTGCATTTTTCTCAGCCCAGCCTCAAACAGTTTCGATATTCTACGAGCCATGCTGAGCCAACATCTGTGAACACTGATGTCTGCGGTCACGGATCTAGGGTTGCGACCCCCCCAGTACAAAGGAGACTAGCCCCTGTCATCCCTCAAAAAGAGGGCGACTACTGTCCCCCAAGTCTTGCCTTACATGAGAGAGCTCACCTCCCCTTTAGCTTGCAGGCTGCAAGGCAAGGCTGGCATAGAGTAGTCTGCGCTAACCTAGGATGAGGGTCCAAGGGTCGGACTGACTGTTGAAGGCATTTGGAGTTTCGGTATATATTGCGTTGTAGTATATTGTATTGCCCTGCACTGCATTGCATTGCATTGTCTTGTCTGGTATTGTACTGTATTGTATCGTATATTACATTATATGGTATGATATGATATGATATGATATGATATGATATGATATGATATGATATGATATTGTGTTTCGCTATGCTATATCATATTCTGTTACTTATATGCCGCTCGGATCTGTCGGCGAGGCTCCACGAGCTCATCTTCGCTGCAGAGGGCGAGGTGGACCTCGAGGAGATATCTTTGCTCTTGGCCATGACATCCTCCCTTGGGGACCCAGAGACTCCAATACCCCTTAATTAAGGAATATACCTTAAAATATAATAGGATCCCTAATAAGATTTAAGGTATATTCCTTAATTAAGGGGTATTGGAGTCTCTGGGGATGTTTCGGGGAGTTGATGCTCGTTTGACCTCGAGCACAGAGAAGATCGACGTCACAAGCAAAGCAAAGGGAACACACATTGATGCGCCAAAGGACATGCGAGAGCAGGGAAGCGCAATTACTTCAGACCTTCAGTATCCGATCTGCCTGCAAGTAGCCTGCGATGGCCTGAGCCTTTGTTGTGTGTGAACATCAGGAGGAAGACGATGAGAATGAGGGCATGGGCTATGAAGGTGACCTTGCAGATGCTGGCGAACGCATTGTGCCGTCTCTCTTGCAACATTTGTCCAGTCGATGCAAGCTTTCGCACAGCAGCCGCTGCCGGAGTACGCCCCAGCTCAACGGCACAGCCACTTAGATTGAACCTCCTTTGCAGGTGCCAAGACCGAGTTCGGCTTCGATGTCACAGACATGTCAGGCTTTGCGCTCCGTTTTGCAATGCCCCCAAAACTGAAGCTACGCGGGAAGACCGAGGCTGAGTAGTCCTGAAGCTGCGCAGCCCACAAGAGCGAAGTTCTTCCAGTGCAGTGGGCTTACAAGCCGTGCTCGTGCCTTCAAAGCGAACGGCAGGTTCGCAGAACGCCGAGCGCACGCTGTCAGGCCAGAGAGGGCAGCCTTGGTCCGAAGGCGAAGTCTCATCCTGGGTATCACATAGTAACCTACTATAAATTTGCCGGGGACCATGGGGGGTATGTTATGCTTGTAGTTAATGTAGGGGCCTCAATAATTACCTATACTATTTTGGGGGTTCCTTATTATAAGTATAGTATAATCTACAAGACCCCTACATTACAGCGCTATCGAAGGACTCTAAGGATGCTTCGGCTTTCTGAGGAGGGCTGCGGAAGAGTGGGAGAGTAGATTCCGCGAGGCGCCGAGCAGCGGGAGCTCCGACGCCAGCAAAGGCCGGAAACATCGTGTCATAAGCCATATAAATAAATAAATAAACAAATAAATAAACAAATAAATAAATACATATATATATATATACACATACATACGTCGTATATTTAAATATGTACTGTATATAGGGTACATACAAATATATATATATATATACACACACACACTATATATATATATATATATATATAGGGTTTGCCCAACGCTCTGTAATGATGATGGTAAATGACTGCTATCTACTGACGGCGACGAGGATTGTAATGATACTGATGATGATGATGATGATGTGGTTGATGGTGACCGTGATGATGATTATGATGATGACGACGACTTGCGTCATTACCCCTGACAGCCTCGGCAATCTGAACTACGTTCCTTCAGTTTTGCGAGTGTGGCTGGCGCTGAAGAAGCAGCCGCCAGAACTGTGACTGCTGTGCGCTGGAGAAGCAGCCAGCAGGGCTCTGCAGCAGGGCTCTGGATCATTAGTGCAAGGCGTTGACGCGATTCTTTGGGCTTCTTGGCTTTCTCGCCCTGGCTGGCTCTGGAGCACTTTGGAGCGCTTTGCATTGGTGGCTTGTGGCTGCGGGAAGCCTGATAAAGGCCCTGGCGAAGAGCCTCTAGACTCTAGGCTCTTTTTTGCTGAGCGGGCCGCTAAGAAGCTTTCACTGGCCATGCCCGATCCCGGCTCCAGCGCAGGTTGCAGCGCAAGGCGCAGATCCAGGAGAGCCTGCGCCGCTCTACGTCTCGGCACATGTCGACACTGGTCCATAGCTTCCGTCGTCAAGAGTCTAGAAGAATCCCATGCTATGCACAGAGGTTGTATAGAGGTCGAGGTCAATCTGGGCTGGTCACTCGTGACTGAAGTCTGCATTGCTTGAGCTGTGTTGGATGCAGGCCTGTCCCATCAGCCAGCACCAACTGGCCAAACCGTGTCAGGAGCTGGAGCGTGCCAAGCCAAACGAGCAGTACGAGGAACATCGATACTTCGTTTGGATCAACTGTAATTGCGGCTACTATGCACAGCTGCAGAAACCTGTTTTCTTGTCACGTGAAAGACGTCGGCACGCATCTTGACCAGCTGTCTTCGCAGGCCCCTGAGGACGTTGAAGCCATCGCAAACGCAGAGGCAGTTCCGTCTTGTGTTGCCTCGTTGTAAGCAGCAGCTTTCGGTTCAAGCTGCAGGCGACTCTGGGCAACTACATGCTGAAGACCAGCGAGGACTATCAGGCTGGCGAGTTGTTTCTGGTAGAATTTCAGACCTACGGTGTCTCTGAGGGTCTTGGAGAAATTGGAGTGGAAGGCATCCCAGAACAGGCAAATTTAGTTCTTTGTTGTAGAGAATGGGGCTCGGGAAAGGTGTCTTGAGGACATGCAGGCGGGATGCTGTGTGCCTTCCCTTTAAGCAAAGCAGCACAGGTGCCGGAGAACCAGCGCATGAATGCCGAGAAAAAGCGGCGCCAGATGTTCTTGCTCGAGGAGAAGTGGATGCTGCGGGTGGAGCGGAAAGACCCAAACAAAAGCCAGAGCGGCTTGCCCTCGCTCCTGCATGCAGGAGTCCATCCATGCAATCAAGACTGAGTTCAATCAGAGGGTGCCCCCAGCGGATGCAAGCTACAGGTAGCATAACGCATGGAAACTGACTAAGCAGGTGAACAGGGCCACTAACCGCCAACCAAGAAAGCCCCCCAAGGCACCGCTTTCAGTCACTTGGGTTCATGAAGTTCTCTCTCACTACACCCCAGTCGGTGTCAGAACGACCCGATCACGGAGTTAAGTGGGAGTTTGGGATATTTCCGAGCGGCCTGAAAAGATCTTTGATCTATCTAAGTTCTTTCAACAGCGCCGTTCTAGAACCTTGAAGCTGCCGCAGGTACTGGCCTTGCGCGATTTCCGCCAACAGGTCCGCGCCGAGGCTCATGAAATCCAGTGACAGTTGAATTGGAGCTGCTGCGGTCCTGCTGCTGCTACTGCTACGGCTACGACGATTACTTACATGTACCATGTTCTCATAGTATCATTGAAACTTGATTTGTTTCGACATCTTCGTTCATTTTGTTAGATGGCATCCTCGTTTGGTAAAGTCAGTATGTCTGTTGGTCAGCATCGCGCCACAGGTGGAGAGGGACCTCATGGCATTGGCGGAGATCGACGAGCAGCTAGGCAGAGTCCGGGACTGCTGGGGGGGGGCGGGTCGGATCCACCTTTGTTCTGCCTTTGGCATTTGGTGATGTGGGCAGTCACAGGAAGCTGTGACTCTGCCCTCTTCGCTGGCAGTTGGATGCACGTGAGCCCGTGGTAATGGTGGAGACCTTGAGTGCCAGTAACAGTATGCGATGGCCCAGCTGCTTCACATGGAGGATGCTGCCACCAAGGTGGCTGTAAACATCTGTCAGCCACCATAATCAGCCGACCATGAATCCTGTACTGCTTACTGCACAAAACCTCGAAGATCAGTTATCACTGAGCATCTAACCCTAACCGTCGTCAAAAGCAGACAGTCCCGCAACTTGGCATCCCATCTGGTTCATCAGAACCCAGCTTTGCACTCGTCTCGTTCGGGTGACTTTACTGTACCCTTTTCTTGACATCATGTGTGCTCGAAATAGGGTTCGTGGGCCGAAGAATCCAAGCCTGAGTCCCATAGCCTTGGGAGGCACGAAAACGGACTGGGTCGCCGGCATCGTGGACAACCCACCAGGCGCCTCAGCAGCATCGAACCGTTTCAACCCCAGCACTTTCCTCGAGTTGACCAGCAAATTCTCGAGGATAGGTTTAGTTATCTATACCTTGCAGGGGGTGTCGGGCATCGACAGGTGCGCCGCCGGAGTACCCGGAGAAGCGCTTCGAGTTCAGCGACACTGACATCCAGGCCCGGCTATGACCGGAAGCATGCGCTGATTGAGATCGTGGAACAGTCGATATCAGGACCGTCGAGAGGGCCAGTGATTCCGGGATGCTACGCTTTCTACAGTGCAACATTCGACCACCCTGTGAAGCAGATTCGACTCTTTGCAACAAGCTGCCCATTACAACCTTCGCAAGGCCTTTGCCAGCCATTTGAGGGGCGAGAAGCCCGAGGAGCAACGTCCCCTGTGAAGTTTGCGAAGTTGCTCGGGTGTTCTGCGGACATCTTGGCCTAAAGCACTAAAGCATGCTAGAAGCGCTGTATGTAATCCTTCCTGGGCCTGGCTGATGCTCCTTGTCAGGAGGCTGCTGCTCCGGCTGCGGAGGAGGCCGAGGACTTCCAAGAAGAGGAGGAGGGGAACCCAAACTACCACACCCGGTAGTACATTTCTACAATCGGCAGTCTAAGGGAATGCTGTAAATTTGGCGTGCAGGATGTAAAAGAGAAGCCAGACCCTGTCCCGACATGACGATTCGAAAGAGCCTCGTTCCGTCGTGAATCCCGGGCTCGTGCGCGAAAAAAGCCTCGATCGTAAACCCCTAAAGACCTAAACCCCTGGAGCCCCAAACCCTTCAAGACCTAATTAAACCCCTAGAGCCCTGAACCCTTAAAGACCTAAACCCTCGAGCCCCAAACCCTAAGCCCTAGTCTGAACCTTTTCCGAGGAGGCAGAGGAGGAGGTCTACGCAGAGATCGAGGAGGAGGAAGGCCTGGCTATGGGTTTTTGGCGTAACAAGGTCTCCTTGACGGGTGATTAGGGTTCAGGGGTGTAGGGTGTAGGGATGTTTAGGGTGTACGGGTGTAGTTTTTTTAAAAAACGACACCCCTACACCCTAAACATTTTAGGGTTTGGGCAGAGTCCTGGTTGTTTGCCGGCTTCATGGGGTTGCACCAGGTTCTGAGAACGTACATCTGCACCTGGTCACTCTCATGTCCACGATTGCGCTCCTTCCCAGAATTGTAATAACTCCCTCCGGTCGAAGCCTAGAAGCCCTAAAGAGCCCCAAAGCATTCCGCAACTGCTGAAGTAGAAGAGAGCCATCAGCAGAGGTGAAGATGAGGAGGGCGGGGCCACGGAGGCGGACACCGAAGGCGGAGCCCCAAGGCGTTGGTTCACTTGAGTTTCGTAGCCACCAGCTTCTCACAGCTCAAGTCTTGGGTTGAGTTCGGGTCCAGCGAAGAGCCTAGTGCTAGTTTCAGGGTTCCCTGCTCATCACCGCGTGCACTGAAACCCCCACATTGCAACTTTAATGCACGTGTTGATCAAGTGGGTGCTCGGATCAACCAGAAGTACTCCTGGGCTTGCCCACCGGCATGATGTGTTTTTCTGTTTGGTACCCTACTGGAGAGTCTTGGGTGATCAGGAGATCCTGCAAAACAGGCATGGTAAACACTGCTACTGGATCTTGAGGTCGGAAGTCCAGTGTCGCGCAGGCCAAGAAGACCAAGGCTGGCACAGCGCTTGCAGATGATGATTATCATGTCGTGTCGCCTGATTCAGAATGAAATTATTGTGAATATGAGGAAAGCAGTTTTCATCAAGCAAAGAAGAGCAGTTATCAGCATTATAATGATGGCAATCATCATGGGATGCTTGCAGCTTGCAGTGGGGCGTGCTAGCCTGCAAGCCGCAGCTGCCTCGAAGGCCGTCGGTGTGCGACCAGGGGCTCCGCTTTCTGGCCGTGCAGCGCCGGGCGGCCGAAGGGTTCGATAAGGCTTCAGGGGAGGTTTGGAAGATCTATCGAAGCGAGATGTACAAGAGACTAGAGGCGAGGTCACGTGGATAACTGGCCTCGGCGCTTTCTTCAGAGGCTGCTGTGCCAGAACACGCATCCAGAACGGTTGACCTTTCCAGCGTCCGTCAGCTGCTCAAGCCCAGGCTTGCCGCCCGGCGTGTGGGTCGCCTAACTCTGCCGCTGCCACGGCGGGGCGATGTTAGCAATGATGATGACGATGACGGCGACGAGGACGACGGCAACAGCATTGACAGCGGTTACAATGGTGGTGATCATGGTCATCACGGTCACCACGTTCATCATGGTCATCATCATGTTCGTCATGTTTATCATCATCATCTTCATCATCATCACCATCATCATCATCATCATCGCCAGCACCATCGTCAATATCGTCATCATCGTCATAATCATCATCGTCATTATCATCATCATCATCATCATCATCATCAGCATCATCATCAGCATCATCATCAGCATCATCATCACCACCATCATCATGACGGCAAAAGTAAACTTGCCGTATGAAGCGCTGCAAGTGTTTGAATATGTCTCTGATGGGGAACAAGAAGGTTCACATTTCGAGCATGTAGAAGTAGACATTGCCGAAAGCAGTGAAGAGTAACATCAGGTCTGATGACAGGTGTGATGCTAGTGCGATGATGACCAAGGCGGCGGTAGTGCTGGTGATGAGTATGGCGATGATAAGACGGAGCCATCGGAGACAAACGGGAAGCAGGAGTTGAGACATTTTTTGGCACCGACCAGCGTCAATAATCTGATTGTGCCGCTGCCGGTGGCAAACGAGTGCGACAGTTTTTGAAGGAGATGTAGTGGAACCGTGGACCCACATGATGCACCGCAAACCGTCGACCAACCCGAAATTCCTCACCCAACCGTGGAGCCTCAATCCCAAGCCCGGACACCTGTAAGAGCTTCGCTCGAAACCGAGCTTCGTGCTGAGGCGCGCATCGCTTCTCGAGGCCGGGGCCCGGGGTCTGAGGGCCATGGCTCCAGGTTTCTGAGAATCGTGCTTCATGCCGGTTCTGATGCTGACTGTGTGTTTCGGGCCTTAGTCAGATCCATGCGGTTGTCCATCTGCATCCAATGTACTCGGCTCCGATCTGCAGACAGTCCAGGTCTAGTCAAGTCTTTGAGGAAACTTCTGAATTGGGACCAAGGGACATTGTGTTTCTGCTGGCAGACCACAACGGGGCAGGGGCAGGCTGACTCCTGCAGACGAAACACTGGCAGGACAAGTCTGGGAAGCGGGACGCCCTGTCCGAGGCGTCTACAGGGCTTATGTAGGATCGCTTTTCAGATGCGATTCTTTGTCCAGCCTGGCAGGCCGTTGCCACCGAGTCTCAAGCGAGGCTTCGACACGACAAGGGCCAGCTCGAAGAGCACGTGCGGCAGGCACGGAACTCAGCCGAAAGCATGTTGGCATCGCCGTGGCTGCTGTGGTGGTCGTGATCTTCAGGTCATTGACACCTTCAACATGGCCGTCGCCTCCATTGAAAAGGAGAAGGCCAAGCTGGAAAGCGATCTCAAGAACGCGGACATGAAGCTCTTGGTGCTCTATGAGGAGATGCCCATGTCGTGAGTCATCCTGTCAGAAGAGCATGTAAAGCTGGAGGTCTTCCGCCGAGTCATCTGTTGCTTGGCGTGTCTTGCTTGCCGGGATGATAGGCTGTTCAGGCTCGACGGAAAGTAAAGCTCTGACAGCATCCGCATCATACGACCAGCATCGAGACAGTGTTGTCTAGACACCCTCAGGCAGTTTACGCATAAGCTAGTGCCTATCTGCAGAGCCATCATGATGCGCCGCTGCCTGGTTCGAAGATTGGATGGGTCCATTTTGCGGGAATTCGACGCACCAGTTGACACACCGTGGGCTTCATGTCTCTCGGCCTTCTTTGCGTCTGAAGAACTGCGAATCTTGCATCATGGTGAGGTGGTCTTTCCCAGCGGTGCATCGGTTCCCCGCGGGCCAGGGACATTGGATTTGACCATCGTGCGGTTAGTGGACTCTCGATGCGTGCGGCTTGTCGTGGCGTGCCATATTGGAGATGCTTCCAGGATGCAGTGGTTCCGGCTCCGCAAGCAAGATGTTCTGCTGCACGAAATCTCCGACTTGGGCCTCGACCCGGAAACGTGCAAAATCGGTCAGATGCTATCTGCCTTCACAAGACAGAGCCACAGGGGGAGGCTTGAGTCTGCCATGGTCGGATGGCTGCTCACGGCCACGGCTCCGGGACCCGTGCGGCGACGGAAGCTACGGGATTTCCTGACCCCTGATGGTAGCTTCGCGCTGCCCTTGGTGATCACACGCAGCGAAGTCTGCCTCAGGCAGCGGGATTTTGAGCACCACGGTTATGTCAGCGTCACGGTCAATGAAGATGCAGGTGGGGGGTTCTTGTTGGAAGCTGGAGCCCGTGTTTATTTTTTTGCTGTAGTTACTTTATGTTGCTCTTGTTATCGTTGCGCGGGCCCAGGAAGCCAGTGAGTGAGTGAACGCCGGTTCCCGCAGCGACAGCAGAAAATTAAACGCGCCCCCGCGACGACAGCAAAAAACCACGCCCCCCCCCGCGCAACGACAGCAAAGAAAAAAACGCGCCCCCGCGACGACAGCAAACAAATGAACGCCCCCGGACGACAGCAAAAAAGAATCTTGCCCCCGCAACGACAGCAAGAAAATAAACGCGTCCGCGTAGCGACAGCAAAAAAACCAACGCCCCGCCCGCAACGACAGCAAAAAACTAAACGCGCCCCCGCAGCGACAGCAAAAATACACGCGCCCCCGCAACGACAGCAAACAAATAAACGCACCCCGCAACATTAGCAACAACGCAACGACAGCACAAAAACACTCTTACCGTTGTAAGCTGGCTTTTGGTGTTGCTTGGTTGGCGGCCTTTTCTGTCTTGCGCTGGCTGCTGCAGCTTGTTCGTGATTGTCTTGCGCTGTTCTCTTCTCGTTGATTCTTGCTTCCTGCAACTTGCTTTCCGCTTTATGCGTGCTGCATCCCAGCTCGTGCTTCCGCTGTCCTTTCACTTCCTGCTCTCCCGAAATACATGCTACCTGCGGCTTTTACTTTCCTTTTTTTGCTGGGCGCGCGGTTGGTTTAGTGGGGACACCGGGTGCCCTGGCGAAATTTGCTTGGTGCTGTGGTCGTCTTCCAGTCGGTCGCCGGGCTCCGGTTCCCGGCCACTTGCTTGAGTAGTCCTGTCTTGTCGCGCAGAGCCAGTGGATTTAGTTTTGGCGTGTGCGCCGAACCCAGTAACTTGCCACAAAGCAGTTTCTCCCGTAAACTGGAGCAGGACTCTACAAGCTTAATGTCACCATTAGCCGCATTTGCAGTTTGAACCTCCCACTACCTTGCCGCAACGAAAGCTCAGTCACTCAAACGCCGTCGACACCCGGAGGTGACTATCGCATCGACGACCCGTCCTCTGTGGCTGCTTTTAATGAGCTGCTAGCCTTGACGTAGCCGAAGAGTTTTGAGGGTGCCCCGAGGAAAAATCATCATTGGGTTGCCGCATGCACTTCCGACCGCAAACATGGTCGTGTGCATGCGTCGCAGCTGGGAAGGCGAATCCAAGCAACAAACTTTCCAGGAGCTGTTGACTCTGAACGACTTGGAAGAAAAAGACGAGGCGCCCGATCTTGTTGGACATGTCTTGGGAATAGTTGCGAATGCATGTTGCGCTGTCCGTTCCATGTGCATACATCTGCTTCGGTATCAAGCCTTTCGGAGCGAAGGCCAACGGAGCAAAAGCAGCACAGTACAATGCATCAATCGCTGCACATGTTTTCGGTTCTCAACCTCCGAAGACCGTAAAGCCGTGAGATTGAACAAAATTTGGATATCTGCAAACGGCGTGTGGCTCTTGAACCCGGAAGTGGCGCAACAACATGTATCGACAACGGGGATAGACGGGCGTGCTTTGAAGGGGGTCGAGCTGCGGTGCCTTCGAAGATTTGTGGAAGCTGTTGAAAAGGCTTGATGCATCAGTTGAGTATTCAGTCGTGTGCACCAGTTCGAGACGGCAGCGCAAGCTCACGTCTGGTATTTCCTGGTTCATTTAGTTTCTATGAGACTTTCCGTGTGCCATCACGAATTAAGGATAAAATCGTCGACGCATTCCATTCATGAACCCATCATTGTCTTCATACCCGCCGTCATCCCCGCCTTCATGCCGTCATGTATTCCGTTATCCGTTTGTGTTGTTTGTGTCGATCAATGAGTCCACAGTTACTGCATCCCCCATCAGCGTTTTTCGCTCCATCATTTTCTGCATCGTTTTGTATTCGACTACGTCGCTCACTCTTGCATGGTGTACTGTATGCGTCCGTCATTTGCCAGCACGCTGTCAGGTATTACATGAGCCATACAGTACCCCATGTCGTCGGTATACACCATCATTAGTCATTCATCCAGCTTCTTTCCGTCAATTTTGCCGAATTCCGTACCTCACTCCATCGTGCGAGCAGTGTTTGCTCCTTGAGTCTGCCACGCACTGAGTCAAACACATTCGGTAAGTCGGTCGTTCATTGCGTCCTTTTCCCCTCACCCCATGAATTGAATGTCCATGAGCCACTCGGTCATTCACTCCTCACTTCACGCATTCCATCATGCACGCATTGCGCCATGCACACATTGGGTCATGCACGCATTGCGAATCCGTGATTTTCGCGAATCATACCCACGCCGTGTTACCAGTAGCCCTTGGAATAATCCATCGTGTATTCCGTATTTCACCTCGTTATTCATGTTGTCATATGCTTCATGTTTTCCGGTGTGCATTCCATCAGGAATTTCGTCCCTTGATACACACAGTTTTTGTCAAGTTTTTCGCAACCCTTCGCTCCTTCCGTCATTTTACGCGGTGAGTCATTTCGTGATTCACTTCATCATGTTTTTGGGTACGCACACGTTTACATGGCCGCGCACTCCATAGCATCAGTCATGTGTCATGCACTACATCGTCCACTCCATTATTGTCACCGTCACCTCCAGTACACCAATCCGTTTCGTTCATTCAGTCTGGCATGTATTCCGTATTGTTGCGTTGCGCTTTCCATCACGCGTATATCATTGACACGGTCATGTGTAAATCATTGCCCGACTCCATGACACATTCTGTCCAACACATGCATTCAGTCGTCATTCATCCCGTCAACTTCACCATCACCCCATCAATCTTTCATGCTTTCTGTCACACCGGCAGTGTTATTTCGTGGCTCTCACCCGTATGCATTCCATCACGCACTCCATCACTCACGCCGTCAATCACTCCGTCACTCTCGCCGTCACATCCCATCGCTCATTCTGTGAATAGGCCTGTTCCTGGCTTCAGTCTGTCGCGACTCCGAGCTGCGGACTACTGCGGTTGGGCGATGTTGCACGTTCCATCACGATAATCTCATTCACTGTGCCGCTCACTCTGTAAGTCCCTATTACTGTAGCCATCGCGCCACTCCATCATGCATTCCGCCATGCACGCCGTGCGCATCCGTCATGCGTTGCATCGCTCATTTCGTCGTTTGTCATGTCATCATGTGTTCTGTATAATCCGGAACGAAATCCATGGAGGCCTTCCCACCTTCCCGTCACTATAAGTAGTTCTTCCAGTTGTTGTGTCATTGTTTTGCCACCCCGCCATTCCTTGTAGCATTCACTCCGTGAGTCAGTGTGTCATTCGTTCCATGATGCTTTCCATCACGCACCCGTCGTGCACTCCAGTATGCATTTTATCACTCGTGATTCCGTCGTAATTCGCTTCGTCACTTTCGCATATTTTCACCGTACGTCCTTTTTGCCCGCACAAACCATCATGTATTCCATCTCCCGCTTGTCCATTCATTCCGTCATTTGCTCCTATCCCGTCGAGCTTTCCCACCAGTTTTTCTGCAATTTTTTTGTCGCCCCGCCCTTCTTCCGCCACGTTCTCAGTCATTTACTCGATTTATCATGCTTTCCGTCACACACGGTTTTACTCCGGCATTCGCTCCAGGGTGCATTGCATCACATTTCGCTTTCATCAATCACCCCATATTTTTAATGTCTTTCCGCGAGAACTTCGAATCATGTTCGGTCAGTTCGTTCTGTCAGACCGTGTTGCGCCTTTGCGCGGTCCATCACGCGAACCCTTTGTCATTCTGTCATCAGTTTCGTGTAATCACTCAGCTACCCTTTTCCAGCGCGCATTCCGTCAAACACAGACAGTCAGTTCATCATCATGCCTTCGGTGATTCATTGTGTCGTCATGGTCACCCTGACCCCATGTTGTTTTTTCCGCGCCGCCCCGGGAGTCACTCGGTCATTCACTCCACGCATCAACATGCTTTACGTCACACGCGGTTTTACGCCGTCGCGCACTCCAGTGTGATTTCCATTAATTTATCCGTCTTTTTCTCTTCGTCACCCCCAATCATCTCATCATGTTCGGTTATCGTCACGCGCGCTGCGAGTATCGACCCGTTGCCAGTCAGTTTATCAATTACTCCACCTTGTTTCTCTGTCATTTCGCATTGCGTCGTCACCCTGTCGCTCCTTCCATTTTTTGCTCCAGGGTCCATGAGGCCCGCCGTCATTCACGCCAGCATGCCTTCCATCACACACGATTTTATTCTGTCGCTCGCTCCCATGCGCATTGCATCACTCATCACTCCCTCATTCACTTCGTTATGTGCGCCGTCACCGTGGTTGAGTGTCATACCGTCCGTAATTCGAACCATGTTCGATTTTACTGTCATTACTTTTTGTCACCCTGTCGTTTGTTCCGTCATTTACTCCGTGAACCATGCCGATCCAATTTCATTGTTTTCCGTCACAACACTTCGTCGCGCACTCCAGTATGCATCACATCAGTTATCACTCCGCCTCTCATTTCCGTTTATTCACCACCACGGTGCTTTAATGTCATGTCGTACATAATTATCGTAATTCGAATCATGTTTTCATTCCGCTATATGAACTCCGTACTGCGCCGTTGCGCGTTCCGTCATGCAAAGCACCATCAGTCACGTATTCCATCGCAAGTTCATTTCGACATTCATTTCAGTTTTCGTCACTCCGTCATAGTCACCATCACCCCAATTTCACAACTCCTTGATTTGATGCAGTCTGCCCAATAACTCGAGTCATGTTCGGTCATTGCGATTGCTTTGCACAAGTTCCATCGTGCACACTGTCAATATCTGGTTTTTCAAGAATCTACATCACGTTTTTGTATGTTATTCTTTCGCATGCTCCTCAAAGACGCCAGAAATTCCATCGTTCACTTCCTCATTTATTCTGACGTTCCCTGTGTACTTGTTGGCATTTTTTGCATCACTCGCCGTCCCTGCTGTTCTTCAGGAACGGCTTCCATTATCCCAACCGCGCACGTCGTCACATTCACATTCACTCGAGCTTGTTCTGTCAATTGCAGTCCGTACCGTTCGTTGTTTCCATCTGTCTCATTTCAGTGGATCGTTCGCTTGCACGTTTGGTCGCCGTGTTTTCGCGCATTGTCACAGATGCACGCGCTCGATGCGCGCACGCGCACTTCCACTTCCACTTCCACTTCCACTTCCACTTCCACTTCCACTTCCACTTACACTTCCACTTCCACTTCCACTTCCACTTCCACTTCCACTTCCACTTCCACTTCCACTTCCACTTC